TCAGCGGAGACGTGCACAGGTTTGTAAACCTGGGAGATATACACCTGGTTTTTGGCGTCCATGATGGTATCCACCAGAGAAATATCCAGTTTGCTCATCCGAGAGCGGCAGTCGTAAAGCAAGGACTACTAGAATTCGTTTCCGCTAATGATATTGCGCTAATTCATATTAGACAAAATATTAGACTTAGTCTGGATGTGAAACCCGTAAGCATTCCACGTGCCGATGACGTTCAAATGCTTGCTCAGGGAAAACGATTTAACGTCTACGCGCTGCAAGGTGGTGTTGGTAAGGCGGTGAGACCAGAAACAGAGCGGTTTTATCACTTGGCACATTTAGAAAGGGGCATGATAAGAAAATTCGAATTTGAAACTATCGACTCATGTAAATACGGATCAGTGCCTGCGTATTACAGGCGAGAAGACCAGATCTGTGCGGTTGAAACTTCCATGTCAGGTGAATTAACCGAGGTACGAACATATTGAATGCATGTCATATTCATTTCATGGTTGGCGTGCATAATAATTATTTAATACTATATGATACAGAAAGCATTTTGATAGCATGGCGAGTCTCTATGGCTGCTAACGCTACTAAACCAACTTGGTTTTGTTCAAAGTTTGTTATGTACAAAGTTTTTTGCACTGTTCTGGCTATAACACTGTAGCTGTTTGACACTCTTCACTAGCCTTCTTGTCAGTTTTGGATGGTTCAAGCTTTGCCTCATCGATTCATGAACCAATGCAATTCCGACGATGACCACTAATCAGTGATATTGTTGTCACATTTTTGAGCCGCAATAGCTGCTTTACACAGATAGCCAGGTTTGGGTAATTTTTTATTTTCTAAAAAATATCTTTTTCAAGATCTTACCTCAGGGAGCAGTAACATCAATAATTTAAGCACTCTTTTTCTTGCAATCAAAGACTAATATATGGGAACGATTGTAATAAATAATGAAATCGGTGAATGCTGGGTTTACGAAGGAGATGTCACGTTGTCTCTCCTCAAGAAATCTTTTAACGATACCTACGATATGGCATCGTTTCTGAGATTTCGCTTATTTCAAATCACACCTGTTGGTGTATGGTTATTAACGTCTGAAGTAACCGGTGTAAGCAAGAACGGAGTTACCCACGACAACGTGTGATATCGATTCCATGACCAATTACGAGATTCTCTTTTTGGGAGATATTTCTTATGGATGTATAAGATCATCCGTCTCGAAGCCTTGATGACATCTCCTTCAGATCGATTCCATCTTACCTAACAATATACGTGTCTGTTTGTTTCAATTTTTATGCATACCAGTATTTGATGATTTGCACTTAAACTCCCAGATGTATTTGGACAATTAGTTTTAAATTTTGTAAGTTGAATTTAAATCATTAATTTGAAATGTTCAGTGAAAATAAAGCTGAAGAGTGTGTGAGTGCCACTAAAGTCACATGTAGCATTCATATGGTGAATAACTGTATCAAAAGCCGCTCAGATGAGGAAGTATTGAGGGAATACTTTAGGCTTTATGAACAAAATATTGAGGCTAAAAGCAGACATTAAATTACTTTACCAAACAGATAACGGATTCTTTTATAGACAGCGATTTGAGCAGTCATTTTGTTCGTGCTTTTTAAATAATTTTCTATCAATGAAAGAGATGAGAACGATAGGTCTTGTTACAAGCGTTCGTTTCATTTAACTTGATCGATAGAAATCGATAACTCCATCTCTTCCTGGGTAAAGTTCAGCTTTGAGAGAACTTCAGCAAGATTACGCATGTCAAAAGTTGCACTACTACAGCCAATAGAGAAGCGCTTTTATTGGCTAAACGAAAGCGCAACTCTTTGTCTTTGGTTGCCAATGAAAAAGATGATCGACTTATGAAAGATCAGCGTACTGTAGAGACTGTTATATTCAATAATTTCAGAGAAATAAGTCTATTAGTTCAACGCTTTACTTTCAGGGCTCAACAGGATCACCGGTGGTGGGCAAAACTAGAAATAGAACGGAGGTGTACGGTTTTGTCACCGCTAAAATCTACCGAAATTACGTCAGTTTCACGGCAATGGTTCCAAACGTTGAATTTCTGCATGCGGCTGCAAGACATTCGACCAGCATGCCGGACGGTCGCATCAGAAAGCTTCGACGAGCGGGGACATCCTTCGAACTTGTCACCTGATGAAGTCTGTGCCCGGTGATGATTTTTCGTTTCAGTAAAATATGTGAATGTCACATGTTCTGTCCATACGTTTAAAATATGTAACGTTCATTTTCTTATGAATATGAATCCCGACAACCATTGACAAAGCTTTAAATCAATCAATCAGCAAATTAATTAATATACAAGTCAAAGTTCATTAATTTACACAAAGCATGTTCCTGTCAGAACAGACTGCGTTAGTGCTTGTGTACGACAATTGTTTTTTGTAGTCAAATCCTGCCTAGTTTCTTGATTTGCATTGCGCAGTCCGACCATCTCTTAGCCACAAATGGTCAAGGGGGGCCACTTAAGCAGATGTCAGATAAACCGTACTCTGGCACCTACAAAGGGCCATTAAGCTATTAGAAGTAAGGGACGATGCCACTGCACTGTTCACATCCAGAGAATTGACAGCAGGTGGACGTTCTCACTAAAGGTTTCGAAACCCAGGAATCTGGTGATAATCATCTTGCATTGGGGTTGCAATTATATTCTTACAGTATGCGGTATAACCTTCAGATACATTGCACATCATTCAACATTCATAACTTCTTGAAAATAATTTCTTAAAACATCTTATCTCGCTTTCTACTTTCACCTGGTTTAAAGGCTCTTATAGTTGCATGGCATTCAGGATTTCTTGAAGCTTATTCGCCGGACTTTCACGAAGGTCCTGTAGATCATTGGCAACAGAAAAATCGTCTTGTAGTTCATCAGATCCTCTCTGCGTTTTTGTACAGTAGAATTGCCGATGTGATGGTGTAATTGTCTGGAAATTTCAATTACTTCAGACAGCATGCAAACAAGCACGCCGGTACGTCCTTCAACGCTGCACTGCATGATCGTACTAATTTCATTGCAATGCCGTCTTCGCCAGGAATGCACAATCGTTTTGCATGTTTTGTTGGATGTCCTGTTTCTGTCAAGACATATCGAATTTCCTCAGTGCGATTTGTGCCGCTGTGTGAATGAGACTTACTTAAATAAGTTTGTAACTCATTTAGAAACGCCTCCTACTGCTTGAGTATGAGTCTGTAAGAGGACTACTTCTGATTTGGAGGGTGTTGGTGCATGCCACTTACCAGTGGTGTCTATGTGCGATGAAAACCACACAAAATGATTCTCTTCTCTGAATCAGCTGGGCTGAACGGCACGGTTTTCTTCAGGAGGGTTTGTCCTACCATCCAGAATGGGCTGCTGTATGCAATAGGGACAATTTGAAACGAATATTAAGAAGCTACATGTGTTTCCTTCGTTTATGAATATGACCTTATAACGAACTTTTATCTGTACTTTTTTTCATCAAAACAACTTCGCAGCACTGCAAATATTCAACAG